CGTGGAGGGTACTTATACTTATTTCGTTTGTGGTATACCTATGGTTCGGTTCGGTAACTTATGATAGTAATGCTGGATGGAATGGATTTTGCTGGAGGTTTGCGTGGGTGTTCAAGAATTCTGCGTTTTCAGCCGTTTTCATCAAACCCAAAACATGCTTCTACTCAACCCCCATCTTTGTAGCCCTCAACGCTCGACTGCTCTGTCAATGCGAACGATTCGATCCGGACAAATAAGTCAAGTCTTTGGACTCGGTTCCCTGCGATGTCAGGCTTCCCATCAAGCCACGGGACGGCGCGCCAACTCTCGGACAGACTCGGCTGTATGAGGCGATGGTCAGGAAAAGGATAGCAAGGCCTCGAGATCGTGTTGCAACGTGCGTCTCTCTCACCCTCGGGCCTGTTGTAGAACAGGGCTAGAGGTAGCTCTGTCAGTTGAGTTCGAAGGAAATCCTTACAAGTTCACCACTTGGGCGACACGCAGTGTGCGGAGACGGAACTGCCGAAGGCCGAGCAACGTGCGTATTTACTCGGGCAACCAGAGTAGTGTAGGCTACTTACAATTAAGACAGTGAGGTCAAGGAACAAGAAATCGAGTTCACGCGCAGTGAGTATCACACAGAGATGGTCAAGGTAGTAGTCACACCGTGGGACCACAATTAAACGGCGGCCCGAAGCATCATTCTTATTCTGGATAATCAGGTACAAAACCGGTGTCCCACCTTTGTCAGTGAAAAAGTCCAATTTTGGACAGCCTTTTTGTACTGATAAGAAGTGGCCATATCAGGCGCGGTTTTTTGTTGAATAAAAATGATGCTTCTGGCGGCTTTTTAATTGTGGTCCCCGGCGGCGATGCCTTCTCCAGTGCCAAGTATGCCGGCAACTGGTACCCCATGCCGCTGGACTGCAATTAAAAGGCGGCCCGAAGCATCATTTATATTCAAGATAATCAGGTACCAAACAGGTGTCCCACTTTTGTCAGTAAAAAAGTCCGGTTTCGGACAGCCTTTGTGTCCTGATAAAAAGTGGCCACATCCGGGTGGATTTTTGTCAAATAAAAATGATGCTTCGGGCGGCCTTTTAATCGCGCTCCTGCGGTGTGAGTCAAAAAGGTCTGATTCAAAACGGGGGCTATCTACGGCTAATATACTACGGAGTCATTACCAAATGAGTCAACTCGGCGGGACAAACACGATCACATGCGCGTGCAGCTCCGAAGTTGAACCGAGATCGCGTCGACTGAGTCAGAATTTTCTGATGAGAAGGGAATCAAGTATTTACCCGGAATGTACCCATATCCATAACAGGGCCTCAGCGACGATTGACTCTACCGCTCATGGATCATGGCACAACAAGTATACGCGGTGACCTTCAAGTTCATCTGCCGTCCATGACCTTGGTCCGTGGAAGACTGGCGGTTTGTCCTACTTACATCTTGCATGCCCGAGTCCGGACACAGGCGGCTAGTCCGTCCTGAATCACGCTTGGTCCCAATTTCGAGCGAGGACTTGTGCTATCGCCTCGGCGAACCGGGGGATGTCAGTGGCGAGAGAAAAAGGAGCTCGCGTTTCGAGCTTTCTTCACACTGCCGGACATACGTGAGCGGATCCTAGACGACTGAAGGACAGCTCTGACCCACCAGTTGAAGGACATCTAGGAACGCGAAATGACCCTGCCCGCCACTCGAGCTGTTGCGAGTGGCGACCGGCCATATTTGACCAGTTCTGGGGCTCTAGCTACCTGAGGACATCCCGCATGAGCCAATGAACACTCTTGCGTTGCTACCTTGATTGTTCAATTGTGGGTGACACCTGTTTGAATTGCTTCCATTGATTCAGTGTTTTGGCAGATTGGCAGCCGCCGCGCGCAGGGAGAGGGCACTTCGGGTGATGCCGAGTCGCTAATCAAGCCAGGAACTCGGGCAGGAACTCGACTGAACTCGGGGGTGAGTAATCATTCAAATTTCACCTAGGCTTCGATTTCCTGCGATGTCAGGCCTCCCTTGAGCCGTCACCGCAGGACAGCACGCAATTGTCCGCAAATTGTGTGACAAGGCTCCCGGCCAACTCTCGGGCGGACTCGTCTGGCGCGAGGCGATAGGCTTCGCGATCGTGTAGCACGGTGTGAATCAATCCCGCTGCTTTATCTTTCTCACTCTCGGCCAGACGACTCACTGTCCGACTGCTGGGTGCCTTTCCCGGAGCCCGAATCACACCCACCCCTTTCACCTTATCCTCCGCCCAGCTCGTCGCGATAGGATAAGCCATGCAGCCCTCTTCTTTCTTCCCAGGCGGAATGGACGGACACCCCGATGGCGGGCAGAGGCAGCTAGCCCTTCACCTTCAAGCCGTTCCCAATGTCAAGCCAAGATTCTTCCATTGTTATATGGCGCGGAGTCCGGAGGAGGTACGATGGGTCGTCGACGGCGGGAGAAGAGGTGTTTCGTCGAGACACGTTCTGCCAGACATGTGTGAGTTGATCCTAGACGAGTGAAGGACAGCTCTGACCCACCAGTCGAAGGACATCTGGGAGCGCACGATGACCCTGCCCGCCACCCTATGTCGCTGTTGCAAGTGGCGACTGGAATTCTTGCCGTTCCATGTTTGACCAGTTCTGGGCTTCAGGTTGAAGGCATCGAACGCCGGACATTCCTGCGTTGCTACCTTTATTGTTCGATTGTGGGTGACACTTGTTTGAATTGCTTCTATTATTTCAGTGTTTGGCAGCCGATGTCCTGCCGCTAATGGGCTAATCAAGCCAGGAACTCGACTGAACTCGTAATCATTTACATTTTTAACTAGGCTTGATCGAGGCTTGACCCATTGGACGATTCGGCGTAGAGCATGCCTACGGCGAGTTGATCGAGATTCGAACAAGATTCATCCTCTCCGCCTCCCTCGATGAAACTGCGGCGACTCCCTCTTGGCCTGCTTCATTCTGGACTCCGTTCTCACTGCCACGATTCTCGTGGCAACGGCGCCGGCCATCTCCCAAACTCCGTTAACGTCCCGAGTCATTCGCCGCCGCCGCAACCATATGTGCTGCGTTTCAATGAACAATGGAGTTTCATAGCCTCAGATCCACATCGCGACCAAAAAAAAGACGGATGTGGGCCAACGCGCGACTTCCAGTCCTCGACGCCTAGATCGGTATAGTCGCAAGCTAGTACTCACGGACCCTTCTACAGACGTGAACTATCAATTGATCCTCGCTTTCAATCAGTGAATCACAACGAACGGCGAGGTCAAGTTCGTTCTTGTTTTTGGTCTCACGGTTTGTCGACCCTGCGCTGTCCTAGGGGGTGATGAGTATCTTACGGGATATCCTCTCGTCAGGGCGGATTTATAAAGTCCACCGTGCGCACATCCCGCCTTTTCGCCCGCTGTACACATGAACCCTCACTCTCTTGCAGTCGCTGGCTTGTCCAGTGAACAAACTCTGGTCAGAGCGTTCCTTGGTCCATGGGTACGTCCCCCATCAGTTCATCAGTCTTTGATACTGACATCTGATGGCAAGCTCGTCGGTGGATGTCTCGACCTTCTGTTCATGGGTGTCCTTGGTTGTCAAGTCAATTCTTTCCACCGCACACCTTTCTTCCCCAGCTGATAATTCAATAGTTGGTGAACTACTACAATTGGTACAAGGACGATAGTATCAACCTCCGGCTAACTGTCGCGATGCTGGCCCTCCTCAATGTGCTCAAATCCGCTGAATGCTTGTGAGTACTTGCCATTCCTACTGGTAGTCAACTCATGCATCCAAGTGCCTCCCTGTGGATTTTTCTGATCAATCACTACGGAGACATTAACACGGCGCTGGCAATGAGTAGTAAGTACGAGTCTACCCCCATTTTTCAAGCTCCGCTGATGCCAGGCCGAATGGAGAGTAAGAACAACTTGCTGTAAAATCGGGTCCACCAGTGGTATTGCTTGATTGCTGGGCGGTAATGCCGGTTTAAAAAGGAGTTGGGACTCCGAAACTGTCATGCAAGCCAGCCTCGCAACGTTGTATCAAAACACGGCATTGATTTGTGAAGATCTGGTAGGTACCTGCTTTGGGCCTGTGGCATTTTTGCCGAGACCCGCCGATATGTGCCGAGACCAGCCAGCGCTGTTCTCATGACGGGACACGAAACGTTGAAACATAACACGAATGGATGTATCTCTGTTTCAACATCCCGATCGACATTCAGCCAACGCTTCAAGTTGTGGACACCGAAATCGGATGGAGCAAATGGCAACGCCTTTCCGTTCTCAGGGTACATTCCTGGGGTGAAGTTCGCACAGTGCACGTACAAACGAAAATCGTCTCGCTTTTACCAGGGTTATGCAGCTGCTCCTAAATCAAAAGTCCATCAAGGTGGGTGCTCTCGAATGTTGACTCCCGTTAGTCTTGGAACGAGACATGGACCGCTTCCGCTGGCCAGAATCACTGAGCTTATGGAATACAGCAAAGTTCAACTGAGCGATCAAATTGTGATCAAAGTTCAACCAGCGATCAAACTGTCAATCAAAGCCAAACTCTTGCCAAAATTCACTCACCCGTGGTTCCCTCGGGTTTCGGGTACATCGGTGGTAGTCCAATGGTAGTCAGTGAGTCTGCAGTAGTTAGAATAGCCGGAATCAATACAACCGAATGTTGTAGGAATCCAAATGCGAGCCAAAATTGAAAATGTTGAAATCCAGGTGGGATACATGGGTGATCAACATTCGGCACGGATTGTGCTTATTTTTGAATGCAAAACTCATCGACGGCGCCGTCGAGCTTGTTCGTATCTGAAGACGTTTTGCTTGCATAGTTTCTTGGCGCAGAGCCACGGCCACCAAGTATTTGAAATCTCACCCATTTGTTCAATCCCCACCAGGAGCAGCGACGATTGTGCGGATCATTTGCAATTGGGCGGGTGGACCGTGTGTGCTTTTGAAGAGGATAAAGTCTTGGGGAAGGTAGCGAGTAGCAAATATTAAGAGGGGAAGTTTCGAACCGTCAGGGCTGCATCATCCGACTCTAGCTCAGTTGGAAGAGCATCAGACTGTAATTGGAAACCCTCCTCGCAACATTGGGTGTTACCCGTTCGATCCGGGTGAGTCGGATTATTTGATTTCGCGTCTCTTTTTCATGTTATACCTTGTGAACGCCGCTACTTACAGTGACGGCGGACTCTGCAAGCTGATCAGTTTGGCTTCGACGCCCCAGCCATGTGGTCCGCGGGGGGCGAGAGAAAGAGCGAGCCTACTCATATCACATGGACAAGTCTAGGCGACATATGGTGTGCATTCGGAACAAACATCATGCATCGATGCATCATGATCAGACCGGTTATCGAGTCTCAAGTAGTTTGCGACTGGCGTTGTTCGCTCTCCTATAGTCTCCGGACGCTTTTGAACCCGTCCGGCTAGGTTTGCGAGACTAGTTCTCCTCGATAATTTTCAGGCGCTTGTCGGGCGCCCGTTCAATCGCATCGAGACAAACACATCACCAGACACACGTCATCGTGTCTTGATCCGCCACCACCACAAGCCAACCCCTCATCGCCCTCGATCTTCCACTCGATCTTCCATTCCGTCTCCATTGGCAACAAATTCATGCAAGCCTTTTTCTTTCACCCGAGTCGAGGTCAATGCATGGCGCATCTCTTGTAGGGCCATACAATTTACGAAGTCTTTCACTGCAGACCCTAGACGCTCCCCAAGCCCCGCGCGAAGATGTGCAGCTCCCCAGCAATGAGCACACATGGAGCAATCCCGAGTCGTTCGGACCGCTTCATTTCGATCATCTTCCGACTCCCTGGATATGATCGTGACATGGCGGCCCGGGAAGAATTTAGGCTCCATCGGATTAAACGGTTTAGGTGCGCCCCTCTCAAAAATTTTCACTCCATCCTCTTGATTGCTCCCCTTTGAAGGTTCACGCGTTGACGCATACACTGTCGAGCGCAGATAGAGAATGTATGCTAGATCTCTGAACAGTGCAAGATGGAACAGAGGTTTGGTACCACCACGATTCCGTGGCGGAAAGGAGTACCTCCGTGCAATCGAACCGATAATTAGGGGACCCCTAACTTCAGGCTTTAAACCTGAAGAGCGCGTCATTGAAGAAGCCTGAACACCAGTCTCATTTCCCTGTCACGATGCCCACCGTCTCCATCACCAGCACTGGCGGCCCGCTCACTGTCGCGTACACGATTTCGACGCCGCGCGCTGCGTCCGCAAAGTCCATCGACCGTGACCTTCCGACTGTTGTTTTCCTGCACCCCGTCTGGCTCTCGCACCCTGTCTTCCATCGTGAGAGTTGTCGCATTTAGGGACGCTTACTGAAACCATACTCAGACCAATTCGCGGATCCGGCCTTGCGGCGATTCAACCTCATCGGCCTTGATTTGCGGCGACATGGCGACTCGGTGGGGAACGTGAAGGATACCTACAGTGCCGTCGAGGCTGTGGACGATGTCGTGAAATTCATGGTGTGTGTTTCGCTTGATTTCTTGTTTGCAACAGCGGTTAACGTCACGACAGGAAGCACTCCGTCTCCCTCCTGTGCACCTCGTCGGCGTCTGCATGGGTGCCCTCATCGCTCTCGAACTTGCTACCCGCTGGCCTCAGCGCATTGTATCTTTGTGTCTCTTGTCGACTGCGGGGCTGCAAGAGGTCAGATCCAGCTCCAGCGTCACTCTCATGAACTGACATTCGCCCTGCAGCCCGCAGATGTTGCCAAGGGCCGCGAGGAGATCCAAGAGTATTGGAACGTTGGCTTCGGCGCCCAGCCCGACGAGTCGGCCCTCCTCGACTGCATCTACGGCGCTCTCCAGCTCGGCATGAACAACGAAGCATCTCCTTTCGTTAAAGCGTGCGCATGACCGCCTCCCTGTTTGCTGATCGTGCTAACCACTCCATACAGTATAACCCAAATCACCTTCAAAGCCTCCACACGCCAATGGTTCCCTCCACACCTGCATGCGATGGAGATCGCGACGAGGAAGATCATGACAGACCGCCCCAAAGGCCTCGAGGCGCGTCTCTCGCAGATCGCGTGTCCCGTGGAAATCCTGCGCTGCTCAGCAGACATTGCCTACCCGCGCGAGCTGTCGGAGGAGATTCAGACGGCCCTACGCAGCGCGGGTGTCGATGCGCGGTTGCACGACGTTCCTGGCGCCGTCAGATGGGGCCATGTTACGCATTACCAGGTGTACGTGCCACCAATCATTTCATTCTTGTTTCTGGGATTAATCGGGAGGTATCCAGCATCAACCCGATGATTCACGACTTTGTCGTCGAGTGTGCGACGGAGAAAAACATCCCCCCGCCTCCACCCATCACGAGTGTCCTCTCGCCGTTCCTCAAGGTCCTCACTGGGGCGGGCTTCCGGCCTGTCAACGACGACGAGGATGATGACGATGACGCGGATAGTACAGACGCGGGCGCAGAGATGGTGGGGAAGGTGGTGACTTTCAAGGCGACGTTCAACAAAGCGCTCAGTGTGTTTTCGAAGAAGCGATGAGGCCGGTCTTTTAGATTTGTATTTGTATTCTTTTGGCTTTTTTCGTTGGTATACAAATGATATCCCTCCTTTCGTTCGACGTTCGCACTTCCACGGAAAGAGATAAGTACTTAGACCAGCGCGAGAATCATGTGACCATGTCGGATCAACAGCTGACGTAACAGGCACTTGTTCGCAACCGCCATGTCCCATGTCGCACCGGCTACATTTTCCGTCTGCGGTACCACCAACGTCATCGCCCACCTCAAGACAAGCTCCCTATAATCTCCCACCGCCCGCCACCCCAAGATCCCTGCTCCCGACGGAGCGGCGCCATCGGTCAATCATTTTTTTTCTTCGCGACCACCACGTCCTTCGGTCCCAATGTTCAAACCGATTCTTGTGCGCCGAACTTTCTGCGTCTTCTATTATCACATCGCAATTCTGGTATGTTCAGGCCGGTCTAATTCAAGCTATCTCTGTACGCGGACATCTGTTTTTGCGAGCGAGTCTGCATGTTCTGCGGCAGAATCGATGCATCATCCTCGGGCCTGGCACTCTGACCACAGGGGCAGCGCTGCTGCTTATAGACTCAATATTTTTATATCACCAAGATATTTACGGCTCAACGACTCGTGACGGTGGGCGCGGAGTCAGTTGGCTACGTGTCTGACAGGATCCCGGTCAGATGCTCCCCAGGCCAAGACAAAGCTTCGGTCTCACCACGGATTTTGCGTAGTGGTGTGCGGTTGAAGCTCGGACTCACTGGTTCTCGATTTCAGATATAAGATATTCGAACGAGTGGGCAACTCTCCAGGTCTCCCAGCAAGCATCCTCACCGGTAACAACATGCTCTTCGCCTCCTTCGTCGCTACGGCCATCTTGGCCGCTCAGATGGCACATGCGCAACCCACAGTGTCTCTGCTCATTGATCACGGGTTTCCTTCCACTGGCGCACTCAACCTCGGATCTGTTTTGCAACAAGTCTCTACCAAGAAGGGCCAGGCTTTCCACTTTGGCTCCACCTACGACTCCTACGATGCTGACCAGTCGTGGTTCACGTCCACTTTCGCCAACTTCTTCAAGCACGTCGTTTCCGAGAACGGGTTTGTTTTGGCCTCTCCGTTCCGTAAATGCACAAACTGACGGGCCTCCAGATGCAAGTGGGATGCCACGGAACCTTCTCAGGGCACAAGCTCACTCACGGAATGCCTCGCTTGCCAATCTTTTGCGACTCAAATCGGCGCCACCTTCCGTGGCCACAACACGTTCTGGCACTCGCAACTGCCGGTAAGTTTCCCGAGTTTACCGTATTCTGTTATTGACCATGCCAGACCTGGCTTCCCGGCTCCTTCAGCGCGAGTCAAATCGTTGGAACCATCATCCCGCAGCACGTGCAGGCCGAAATCCAAGGAATGGGCGCATCAGTGACGTCTTGGGATGTTGTGAACGAGGTTGTTGGCGACGGAGTCAGCAGCGGGATGACGGCTCTGCAATGTGTCCAGAACAAGGGCGACTGGCCGACGGTCACCGCCGACGGTTCCGGCAAGCCTCTGGTCACTGACCTCTCGTTCCTCTACGCCGCCTTCAAGACCGCGTTCCAGTTCGCTGGCAGCAGCACCCGTCTCGCGATCAACGACTACAAGTAAATGGATCGTCATTTCCCCTGTTCAAACCTCATTTTATTTTGTGTACAGCACTGGAGGCGCCGAGGCCAAGACTGCCTGTGTCATTACTGTCCTCAAGGACATCCAGGCCAACACGAGCATTCCCTTCAACAGGCAAGTCTTTGGGCTCATAGTATTCAGCCAATGCTAACAATGCCACTATCAGACTCTCGGTCGGCTTCCAGTCCCATTTGACGGCCTCCACCGGTGGCTTCGACAGCAAGTCCGCGCTTGCGTCGACCTTTTCTACTCTGAACGCTCTCGGCGTGAACGCCATGATCACGGAGATGGACATCGAACTCAACTCCAACTCGGCCGCCAACCTCCGTTACCAGGCCGCCATCTGGGGAGACTACCTCGACGCCTGCCTCTACGCCGCCAACTGCAACGAATTCATCAGCTGGGACCCAAGAGACGATCTCTCATGGCGTGGAACCGCTGCCGCCGCCACGCTTTTCGACTCAAGCGGGAACCCCAAGCCTGCCGCCTACGAGGTCGCCGCACGTCTGGCCAACTACGCCGCCGGCAACGCAGAGCCTTGTGCTACCGCTTCTGGAACCAGCGTGTGCACTATTAGCAGCACTGGCCCTGGGTCGAGCACCGTTGGAAGCACGACTTCTGGTAGCACCACGACGACGGTTGTGTCTACGACCACGGTGACGACTCCCCCGCCTAGCGGCTGTCTGTCTGCCGAATATGGCCAGTAAGTCGTAGATGTACTTTCCCTTTCACTGCTGAATCGTTCGATCTAGGTGCGGTGGTATCGGATGGACAGGATGCAACGGCTGTGCTTCGGGCACGACCTGCCAAGTGCTCAACCCTTGTCCGTATTCTAACCTTTTTTTCGCGCTGGTACACATTCTGATCGTGTCCCACAGACTACAGCCAGTGCTTGACGTGAGGAGGGAGTGGGTATATGTAATTCGCCGTGTTATATACAGGAATCAAAA